CCTTGAGCAGATTCCCATTGTTTCCACTGCTGCAACCCAAAACTGAAATTCTGTGATTCTCAACACCTCCTTCCTGATCCTCCCAATGCCAACAATGTTAAAAAAAAGTCCAGCTAGACAGAAAATGAGGAGGCTGGGTTGGTGGGTAAAAAAGACTTTGTGAAAAGGAGTTTTTTGTCAAAGGCTTTGCTAACTGAGGGTGCCACCGCTGTAGAATTAGTGCAGTGTGACACTGTTTTAACTGTCATGGATCCATCCCATAGAATGCTGGGATTTGTTGTTTGTGGAGGCACCAGAGCTCTCTGACAGAGAAAGCTGAATAGCTCACCAGGCTAGAAATCCCAGAATTCCATAGCACTGAGCCATGGCATTTCAAGCAGTGTCATATTGAATTAATTCTGCAATGTAGATGCAGCCATAGATATGCTGTATTTTTTAAAAAAACAAAACCTGTAAAACACATTGATATGTTTTAAAATTAAAAGTAGAATTGCATAAATGAACAAAGCACAGGAAAATGAGAGGTCAAGAAAAAGCAGTTGCCTGGAAACATAGCTGACAGTCCAAAGGGAGAGGATGCTGAAGGGAAGAGAGGGGTTCTTTTACCTTGTTGAACCGATCATGGGGCACATATTGGAGGACAATTGGCTCCATGGTGAGAACATTAGCAAACTGCACCTCAGGGATGTACAGAGCACAGACAACATGGGCCCAGCCTGGGTGAAAGACAAAAGAACATTCATAAGGGAACAATCACAGAGATCGAAGGCTTTTATGGCTGGCATCCATAGTTTTTTGTGGGTTTTTCGGACTGTGTGGCCATGTTCTAGAAGAGTTTCTTTCTGACGTTTCGCCAGCATCTGTGGTTGGCAAGATGCGAAACATCAGAAAGAAATTCTTCTAGAACATGGCCACACAGCCTGAAAAGCCTAGAAAAAAACTATAAATCACAGAGATGTTTACAATCAGAGATATGAACAGCAGGATATTGGCTTCAGTATCCACGGAGAGGTAGCAGCAGGGTGAAACAGAGATTTTAGGCTGGGTCTTGTTTTCAGTGAGGTAATAAACCACCTCTGAGTATTCATTGCCTAAGAAAACCCCATGAAATTCATGGGGTCAACTTAAGATGTCAGGCAATTTCAAGGAAGATTCAGACACACTAAGCTTGTACGGTGGGCCTTAGTATCCTCTGGGGTTTGGTTCCATGATGTGGATATCAAAATCCATGGATGCTCACATCCCATTTGATACAATGGCATAGTAAAATGGTGTCCCATATATAAAGATTTAGATTTGCTTTGTGGAATTTATACTTTTGGGAATATTTTCAATCCGTGGATGCTTGAATCCATGGATAAAAACATCCATGGATACGGAGGGCTAACTGTATGCTTCAAGGAGCATAACATGACCAGATTTCTCTACACAAAGCATTATTCTTTCATCACAAAAAACTCATTGGTAGGGATAAGGATTCCAGTGGCCATGTGAGTTAGAGGATTCTGGGAATTTTTGTCCAGTTAAACAGCTATTAATAACAACAAGGTCTAAGACACATACATCTGATGAAGTGGGCTTCAGTCTACAAAAGCTGATGACAAATAAAAATTATTAATTTTCAAGGAGCTGATAGACTCTTTATTTTCTTTGGGGCCTAAAAACTGTTCCAAAAACAGATGTCCATTTTTGGTCATTGGACTGTGGTTTTAATTCCTGGTGGCCACTGTTACCCACAAAGGGAATCGTACCTCCATTATCAGTCCGCTTCAATGCTCCGTCTTTATGGGGACACAGCTCACACCTCTGAAATTCCAAAAGGAAAGACCAAGAGAAGGACTCAAGATTAGGATTTCTAAAGAACAACAACAACAAAAGCATAACACTGTCATAGGGCTTTCAAAGTATTTGGAATGTGTCATGTGCATTGTCTAGAGCAGGAGTAGGCAACCTTTCCCCTTTAAGGGCCGAGGGACTTCAGCTCCCAGAATCCCAGGAGCTATTGGCCAACATGGGACTATTGGCCAACATGGCTGAGGCTTCTGGGAGCTGAAGTCCCTCAGCCCTTAAAGGGGAAAGGTTGCCTACCCCTGGTCTAGAGTAATCATCTGAGATAAGCCAATATTACTGTCCTTCACATTGCAATACATGGACTGAATCTAAAAGAGAGTGTGCGCCCATATTGAATCCTAACTTTGAAGGGAAAGTTGGGTATAAACAAAGTAATACAAATCAATCTGGCAAGCCTGTATGACCAGGAAATACAGTAGTCTGTGGTCCAAAAAACCTGGTAGATACCATTGTCCACCTCATTAAAGTTCTCCATTCAACAAAACAACTGCCTGGTGCTTGAATCACTTGGTCTTCCACATCAATGTGCAGAACAAAAAGTATATTCTCACCTTTCACACTTTCATCACAGTTTGTGAGGAAGCTCAAAATAAGTCATAAAAAAGCCTCAAGTGTGCCTTCAAATGTGCATCTTTTGAGAGAAAATATGTCAACAATCAATTTTTAAATGTACATTTTCCAGCAAATCTTTTGAATAATGCAAGAGTGGGTTGGAACAGACTTATAGATGAGTCACATAGGAAAGTGACTTTAATATTTTTATTACATTCACACTCAGACTGCATCTGCACTGCAGAAACAATCCAATTTCATACTGTTTTAACTGCCATGGCTCAATCCTATGGAATTCTGGGAATTGTAGTTTTGTGAGACATTTAACCTTCTCTGTTTGAGAGCTATGGTGCAACAACAAACTACAATTCTGAGAATTCCAGTGCATTGGCCATAGCAGTTAAAGTGGTGTGAAACTGGAGTATTTATGCAGTACAGATGCAGCTGAACACCTCCCTCGAGTGAACTCAATGCATCCCATATGGCTTTTTTACCCCACATTATGTTCATAACAATCTTGGTTTTAAATTGTTTTTAAGTATTCTAACTGGTTTTAATCTGTCTTCTTTTAACTTGTTAAATTGTTCAATATGTTTTTAGCTTTTTCAGATCATGTTATTGTTTACATTGTTTTAAACGGATTATGTTTATTTTATTGTACATCACCATGGGACCTTTAGATTTTATTTATTTATTTATTTATTTCATTTATATGCTGCCTTTGTCCTGGAAAGAGACTCAAGGTGGCTCACAGATAAAATCAATTAAAAACTTTACTTTAGACCAGGGGTCGGCAACCTACAGCCTGCGGGCCGGGTGTGGCCCGCGGAGGCCTTGGGACCGGCCCATGGCTGGCCCTGCAGCCACCGCTGCGTGCGCACTGGCGCGCCACATGGGGACGCCACTTTGGCGTCCAAAATGGCGCCCGCCAACATGCACATACATGCACAAGCGTGGGTGCCATTTTAGAAGGCCCCAAGGCAGCTGCACCGCGCAAATTCTCTCCTAGATTTGTTATTCTTTTTCTTTAATAGCTTTTGCCATCTTGACTACAGTCTGGTATTATTTGGTAACATGTGTCCTGGTTTTCATCTGTGAAATCCTGTAGGCTATGTTGTTGATGCAGTTTTGTGCTGGAGTCCATTCTCTGCTATTATCATGATCTTTAGCACAAGCTGTTTATTCTCCTAAACCCAAATATCTTTTTGCTGTAGCGGGATGTGACTATGACCTCATATTTAAAAAATTCTGATTTTGTTAAAGTGGATTAACATTCATTACATTTGTTCAAATCTGAAGTAGAGCAACTGAATCTTTGAACCCCCCTCCCAACATTCCCTTTCCATTAATTGAAATGAGTCCATCTTTCCATTAATTGAAATGAGTCCATTTGTTTGTCATTTATCATATTTATATCCCATCTTTCCTCAAAGGAGCTCAAAAGCAAGATACATAATCCTCTTCCTTGCTTTTATTCCCAACACAATCCTAGGAGAGGTTTCACTTAGCATAAGTGTCTGGTCTCAAGGGTATCTAGTACATGGGGCTTCGAACCAGGATCTTCCCAGCACTAGTTCAACACTAAAAACTTTGCTGGGCATCCACCTGTCCTGATTTGGCACGGACAGTCCCAATTACTCCTCTGTCATCCCAGGTTTTCAGCTGCTTTTAAAATGTCCAAGTTTCTCTCTCCACTTCCTACTATCCATTTTGGTCCTCAGCTTACTACAATTGCTTCAAACTGAGTTCAAAGTGCAAAAGTAGTTGGCACTCAGTTAACTAAGGGCTGATGCAGATGGTCAAGAAGGGACAGCTCTGGGCCACCTCTGGGAGCGGCAGATCGAGGCTGTGGCAACCACATGCCATGGCCTCAATCTTCCTTTTCGCTGCCATAAGAGGGTGCCCTGACGCCACGCATCATGTGGACGGGCGCGCAGCATCGGGGCAGCTAGCATGTGGTTGCCCCGCCCCAACTCCACCCCCAGGCCGGCCTAAAGTGCTGGTCTGCATCGGCTTTAAGTAGAAAGAAAAGGAGAGGAGGGCACAGAATCCTGCCCTTCCTTGCAAACTCAGACCAAAACTGCAGCCTCTCCTAGTTTCCTCGTTAATAACATTTGCCATTTTGATCACACTCAGATGTTGCTTGGTCACACAAGTCCTAGTTTGCAAATATTTAATGTTGGAGGGTATGGGGATGCATCATATTAACTCCACAAATTGTAAGGTAAAAGTAAAGGTATTCCCCGTTGACAAGGTTGTTAAGTCGTGTCCAACTGTAGGGGCCGGTGCTCATTTTCGTTACTAAGCCAAAGAGACAGCATTATCAGAGACTACTCTGTGTTCATGTGGCCAACATGATTGCACAGAACGCTATTTACCTTCCCACCAAGGTGGTACCTATTAACTACTTGCATCTGAATGCTTTCAAATTGCTAGGTTGGCAGAAGCTGGGACTAGTGACAGGAGCTCACCCCATCATGCAGCACCTGGGCCTTGAACTGCCAACCTGCCGATCTTGCAATCAACAGAGTCAGCATCTTAACCACTTGAGCCACTGTTTCTTTCCACAAACTGTGCTGGTTTGAAATACAGTAGGAGTCCGCATGGTGCAGTGGTCTGAGCATGGGATCACGACTCTAGAGATCAGGGTTCAATTCCCAGCTTGGCCATGAAATCCACTAGGTGACCTTGGGCAAATCACATTCTCTCAGCCTCAGAGGAAGGCCATGGCAAACCTCTTTTGAAAAAAATCTTGCCAAGAAAACTTTATGACCAAGAAAACCTTAGTCCCCATAAGTTGGAAATGACTTGAAGGCACACAACACACACAAGCAGCAGAGATAATTGCAAAGGCAATCAGAGTGGGGAGAAAAAGAGGCAGATATTTTGTGGTGGACTTTGATGGGATGCCTTTTGAGGGGCAGAAGTCCAGTTATCCGGGGCTGCTCCTCCAAGGATGGCTAGGCACTCAAGAGGAACGACAGCCCTACATCAGGGAAATTTGTACTGAAATTCCCCTTTGCACTCCATTCCCCTTGGATCAAAGCACCTCTCCCACTGCACTATTAGTAAAGCTCTGATCACTAATGGGAAGGGTTAAACCAGGAGTAGGCAACCTTTTTGAGCCGGGGGCCAGGTTGCTGTCCCTCAGACAATTGGGGGGCCGAAGCACCAAAAATAAATAAATAAATAAATAAATATTTTTTTTAAAAAATTAAAAATTAAAAAAATATGCATGCACACTCTCTCAGCCCCAGAAAAGCCATGGCAAAACCCCTGTGGAGATTTTGCCAAGAAAACCCCAAGAACAAGTAATAACAACAATAATCAATATCATCATGGCGGGCAGCGGCGGTGGCGGGGGGCAGCAGGAGGCGGCAGCCCCTGGGCCTTAGGTTGCCTACCCCTGGGTTAAACAGCTGTACCAGCCAGCCAGCCAACTGGACCACCCACCCTTTGAAAGACTTTAATAGTCTTACTACTAGAACATGACTGTTAAAGCCTTCACATGAATTCTCTCCTCCCGCCAACTACCCCTACCCTTTCCCACAAGTTGTCCTCCAGCCAGTTCGTCTCAAAGGGCCGCCAGACAATTCCTTTACAAAGCAAACCAGCTGTAGCACTCCCTTCATGTAGTTGAGTGGCACATGCCCCCTCTCCGGTCTTTGGGAACATGAGGAAGAATAAGAGAGTAGTGTGTAATTCCTGAAAGGAGGAACATCTGGAGGCTGTTCATTTCAGACACTGGGATTCATCTGTGGAGACTCGGGTTGAATGGCACTCTGCTTAGGCTCAGAGGCATTTGCATCCATATTAACACATCACAGAGTATGTACATGGCTTAGCTCTTGACAAAATTACAGGTGCTGGTGGGGGGAGCCTAAGCACAAAACTGAGCTTTTGGATAATTTTAACAGCTTCTTGGCCCCAGAATGTATAGTCACTACCAAGATGGAAGAAACAAACACAGGTCCAAAACACAATGCAGAAATAATCCACTTTGAGACCGCTTCAACTGCCCTGGCTCAATGCTAGGGAATTCTGGGAACTGTAGTTTTGTGAGACATTTAGCTTCCTATGTCAGGGAGCTCTGGTGCCACAATAAACTACAGGTCCCAGGATTCCCTAGCACTGAGCCAGGGCAGTTAAAGTGGTCTCAAACTGGATTTTTTTTTCTGCAGTGTTTGGGACCATATTCATTTGTGCTAAACTGATTAGCTTATGACTGGAGGACCATAGAGCTCAAGGTAGCCTGTTTTTCTGACAGCTGTTGGGGATGGATCCACATTTCCATGAGAGCTGAAACTAGTTGAGTTGCTACAGTACACAGTCCTCTCTCTTCTCTGGTAAAACAGCTATAAAAATGAAAAAAGAAAGAAAAGAAAAGAAAGATGGAGGGATATCTCTTAGGATGCTTCGTGACATGATTTTTATCTTGCAATTGCCCACAATCACTCAGAATTTTCCATGTGGGAGATCTAGACATGGGCATCTTCCATTTGTAAATTTCCTGCATGTTTTGCAACTACTTCTCCCACTATTTTTTTCTACTATAAAAATCTGCTGGTATAAAAGAAGACGAATCAACCATGATTCAAATGCTGGCTTGCACTGTGCGTCCTTGGTGCAGTTGGGTGGACAATGAAATGATCTGGAGGACAGTGTCTATTGAATGTTCTGACTGAGGCTGGGTGCATTCAGATTTTTTAATGTAACTGAAATGTAACTATTTTAATTACTTTTGTTAAAGCAAAAGGTTGCTTCTTCAAATTTTTAACTTTATAATTAGTTTCAACATACAATATACTAGTAACATCAAATTTGTAACTATTTTTGCAGACCTGAAACAAAAACTGTAACTGTGAAGTTGAAGGCTTTCATGGGCTTACAGTTTTCTTTCATTGTTTTTTGTGGGTTTTCCAGGCTATGTGGTTACATTCTCGAAGAATTTATTCCTGATGTTTTGCCTGCATCATCACACAAGTATATATACTCCACATACTTCCATGCCACCACCCTCTGAAGATGCCAGCCACAGATGCAGGCGAAACGTCAAGAATAAATTCTTCCAGAACACAGCCACATAGCCCAGAAAACCCACAGAAAACTAAAAACTGTAACTAATTATCTTAAAATGCAGATTACTGATCTCTTGGCTTCACAATTGCTGTGTGCCTTTAAGCCATTTTGCCTGATGGCACCTCTAAGGCAAACCTGTTACAGGGTTTTCTTGCTAACATAATTCAGAGAGAGTTTTCCTTTGCCTTCCTCTGAGGATTAGTGTGTGACTTGTGTAAAGTCACCCGTGAATTTCCTTAGCCAACTGGAGATTCAAATCCTGGTCTTCTGAAGTCTTAAGGCCATTGGAGATGGGCCCAAAGTGCCAGCCTGGGGGTAGAGTTGGGGCAGGGCAGCTGGACGTCAGCCACCCCAACCCCACCCCGACACCATCCTGTCACTGTGTGGCCATACACACGGCACGTGGGGCAGGACGCCCTTCCTGAGCAGCATTTAAACACGCTGCACTGAAAGGGTGCTGAAGAGCCACGGTGCTGGCTCTTAGGGCAGCCTTTTCGGGGTGGCAAAAGGGAGGATTGGGGCCATGGCATGGGGTTGCCACAGCCCCAATCCACCGCTTCCCGGGGCGGCTCTCTGCCACCCCAAACGGCCAGTCTGCATCAGCTCTCAGTGTAACACTTAAACCACTATACCATGCTGGCTGGATAACAAACTCAACAATGCTTCTGTGCTGTTTAGTCTTTCCAGTTTTTTACGCACTTTTTTATTTGGCTCTTCAAACATCTGATAGGAAGTCTACTGCCCTTTTCAGATTATTATTTTTTTTAGTGTGATTATCTGAATATACTCACTAATGCATTCTGATTTTGTTGTTCACACTAATTTTTTAAATTATTATTATTATTATTATTATTATTATTATCCTCATCCTCATCGTCTTATATCGCGCCTTTCTCCCAATATAGGGACTCAAGGCGGCTCATCTCTGCACATCTCTGAGAGTTCTGTTGCTCACATTTGTCAGCACTTGAATAAAGATGGAGTCGATAATCCATTCAATGCACATTCAAGGCTTGGACAGTTTTATTTCAGTTTATCCGGATCTATCTGCATTGGTTATTCACCTAACTGACAATGCAAATCTTTTAGGAAAACTCGGGGAAAACCTCAAGATCATTTATCCTGGGTTCAGTGGGGGTTTTTTTGGCAGCCTGCCCCCAAACATAATCAGATGCATTCAAAACAACAAAGATTCAACCCACATTCTACCAGGATTATTTTCACTTTCTGAATAACCCCTAGAAAACTCTGCATCGATCCATCTGGCTATTGTCAAGATTGACTTAGCAGGGTTTCAGGTGGAAGACTTTTGTATCCCTGCATGGAGATGCCAGGTATGCACTGCCTTAGTCAAAGCACATTCTTCCCGCACTGTATTTTTAAAAAGCAGAATTTGTTTTCATTGTTGAAACTGCACTGAGGACAAATAGGAAGGCAAGCTCGTGACATCACCCATTTCCAGCCAATCAGGATTGTACGCAGCTGACTTTTACTGTAAACACACAGAATCAATTTCCCCTGACCTCAATTTAGGACAGCGGATGATGTATCTCAAAGGACGTGGTATGTGAGCTTTCACAGCAGGCTCACCACTCAAATTATGTAAGTCTGTACATACCCGAAGGGCTATCAGTGGTTTTCTGATATGTACGTGTGTTTTAAGATAAGCATTTTGAAATCTGATAATGAATCCGTACTGACAAAGAGAATAGATTTAGAACTTGAAAGAGAGCAATTCCTATGATGCTAATTCAGAGGAATTAAGGCTTTGCAAAACCTTTGGAAAAAACTGTAGCTCTTCACATTACTCTATGTCGGGGGGGCGGGAGGGGAATGGCGCAGGGGCCGGGTGGAGGAATTTGCATGCGCACGACGCTGGAGCATTGGGCGTTCCAAAATGACGCCTGCCGCCGTGCGCATGCGTGTGCAAGCGCGGGTGCCATTTTGGACGCAAAAATGGCGCCTGCACTTGCGTGCAGCATACTAGCACGCACAGGGCGGCGGGACCATCCACAGGCCAGTCTCAAGGCCTCCGCGGGCCACACTTGGCCCACGGGCCGTAGGTTGCCAACCCCTGCTCTATGTAAACTACACATGTCTACATGAAGTGAGTATGACACTATAGATTTTCTTCTAAAAGTAAGTGTTAAAATTGTCATCAAATGTAAAATAGAGCAGTGGTCTCATGCTCCAGTTCTCCAGATGCTCAGGACTTCAAATCCCAGAATATGATTGAGCATTCATTGCCATAATGACTGGGACTTTTGGGAGTTGAAATCCAAATCATGTGAGACCAGAGCTTGAGAACCACTGATGTAAAGGATTCCAGGCTCTATTTCTTTTGTACTTGTTGATAAACCTAAAGCAGTTACAGAAAACACCAATATGTTTAATAGGTGCAAGACAGCTGGCCAGGCCTTTCCCCAATTTTTTGCCTTTCAGAAGTACTGGTCTAATATTCTCATCATTTGGAAGCTGTAGTCCAAGAGAACCACAGGGAACGTGGCTGGAGAAGACTAAGGTCCTTTGCAGACTGCCAGAAATAGTGCAAATTGAGTCTACTTTAAGGGTTAGGGTTAGTGCTAGGGAA